TTGTTTCTTTGAGGATTTGTTGTTGGGGGATTTACTTTTTTGAGTTCCAGGTATATTTTATTTTTTTATTGTGAAAATACTGTACAGAGGGGTTACAACTACATGGGCAAGATAATGAGTACATTTCTTATCAAGCATTGTAGCCTTCTCCTTTGTCCAGGCATATTTTAGATATGATACCCTTGTTCATTATATGGCTAGTGAAGATCTTCTCCCAATCCATGGGCTTTCTACTGATCTTGCTAGCTATGTCCTTTGCCATACAGAAGCTCTGCAGCTTCATGCAATCCCATTTGTCCAACCTTTCTTTGATTTATTGTGTTTCTGGGTCTCTATTAAGAAAATTCCGGCCTGTGCCAAGGAGACCTAACATTTCTCCTATTTCTTTCTGTAATGTTTTCAGGGTATCTGCTTTGACTCCAAGGTCTTTGATCCATTTGGAGTTGATTCTGGTGCAGGTGATATATAAAGATCTAGTGTTAGTTTTCTACAGGTGATTAACCAATTTTGCCAGCACCATTTACTGAATAGGCTGTCTTTCTTCCATTCTATTTTTTTAGCTCCCTTATCCAAGATTAGGTGGATATAGGTCTGTGGGTCCATTTCTGGGTTTTCAATTCTATTCCATTGGTCCTAAGGTGGGGCCAAGTCTTTTTGATTAACAGTAGCCAAAAACAAGAGGCTCCCTTAAAAGCTATGAGCCCCATTAAATATTCTCATTCTTTTAGAGAATGCATTTGCTAGGAGACACTGTCAGGCCCAAGATTCACTTTCTGTTTCATGGATGAATGTAACTCCAGACAGGGTCTTGTACAATATGACCAAACTGACATATGATGTGCACAGAAAGGCCTAATCCTATTGACCCAAAGACCCAATCCTATTGTCTCTACAAACTACCATCATCCTTAAGAGAGTTGAGCAAGAAGTCAGAAAAAATAAATTTCTAATAATTTCAGAGGTACTTTGGGTTAATATTCAGACTTTGGGGCCTGGCCTCTTTTGGGAGAATCCTAGTTCTGCCTTACTTTATGACCAAGAGAAGTTACTTGGTTCCCCCACAGACTTGCTTCCCCACAGTCTTCTATACCTGACATGCTAGCCGTAAGGCCTAGCTACTTTTTTACCCTAAACTATAGGTATGTTTTGATCAGGCATATGGTTAACTCTTTCCTTAAGTATATTTTGGAGCTTTAGCAATGTACTCAAACACATGTAGTTTGGGCTCAAATCACACTTTTTGGAATTACCCAATTATAGAGTAGGGATAAAAATACTAGCTATGCATAAGATTTTGTATGACTGAGTATGGATTGAAACAGTAGTTGGCTTACAATAAGAGTGATGTTTGCTACTGGCTTCTGCTGTTTTCATTATATTCTTGGGTGTGTTCCTGAAGACCTTGGTTCCAGGGTTATCTTCTCACTGGCTAAGACCACCCTCACTCCAGGATTATTTAAAGATAAAATCAAATACTTCAGAAATAATTTCAAATTGCCTTTGAAATATGAAAATTAAGAGTCTGTGATGAATTTAAAATAGCTGTCAATTCTTTGTAACTAGTCCCATTAAGAGGTAGAGTCCAACTCCAGCTTTCCTCGCTTACATCTGGGCTAGCCCTGTGAATCTGACCAACAAATGAGGTCGAATGGGTTGGGTGATTTGAGTTCAGCTTTAAGATGGCACTTTCTGCTCTTGTTCACTTGCTGGTTTTGTCATGGAAAGGAACCTAAGCTAGCCTCCTGGAGGATGAAGCCATGGGATAGAAATTTATCTTCCCAGCCAGCTCCTAGGTACCAGCTAAGGGAAGAGTAATAAGGAACTCCATGTGAGATTAGCTGCAGGACCACACAGTTGAACCCAACCAAACTTGCCGACCCACAGAATCACCAACAAATGAAACAGTTGTTTTAAATCACAAATGGAGGGGAGTGGTTTATTATGCAATAGGTAACTGGTAGATAGCCTTGAACAAATGAGGCTTTATTATCAATAGTGCTTTGAACACAAATACACACATGTGAAACCAGGTCACTTGTCTGTTTGCCAGCAGCTTTACCAGTCTCTGCACAGAGCTTCCAAATTCTCATCCCACACACCTGGCCAATGAGGGCACTGAAGTCAGCACACTGACTTGGGAAAAGCTAAGGCCAGTTAATGATCACATCTGTAGAGACAGATGCAAACCTTTTATACCAAGGTAGCTCTTTGAAAGGGATGTGGTAGAAATGAAGGATTTCATTTCTTTTAGTCTGTGATACAAGGCCAGAAATACCATGACTGATTGGGCTTCTCTGCGAGTATTTTGTTCTATAGATCTTAAATATTCCATAGATCTTAAGTCCATGATGAGGTGTGTAGACATATTCATGGCATGAGAAAACCAAGGTCAGAAGCATCAAGTGAGAATCAAGGGGACATGTAAGAATGAACCAGTCAGTGCCAGGTACAAATGGCTTATGCTTATAATCCTTGTAGCTCCAAAGGCTAAGATTTGAAGATAGAAGTTCAAAACCAACCTGTGCAGGCTGTGTGGCTCTTATCTCTAACCAGCAAAAAAGCCAAAAAGTGGAGTTCAAGTAGTAGAGCACTAGTCTTGATAAAAAGTACCAAGGACAGTGCCAGGCTTTGAGTTCAAACCCCAGGGCCTGCACATACAGAAAATAAGAATGAACTAGGTGATCCTGTGGTCCAGGTGATATGTGCCAAGAATTCAGGGAGCCACAACACTGTCAGTTTTCTACTGGTCAAAATAAGCAAAGAACTTCTCATGTTTTTGGTTTTTGTTTGGCAAATTTTTGGCTCTTGCAGAGATAAAATGTCAATGGTAAGTTTTGGCCAGTGTGGAAATCAGCAAGTTCCAGACTTACATATTTGCATGTGGGCTGGACCCTGTTCTGTGCTGTTTGCTGGGTTGTTACCTAGTTCTGTCACTAGTTTTGTTTTGTTTTTCTGGTACTAGGGCTTGAACTTAGGGCCTTATGTTCTTCGTTAGCTTTTTCACTCAAGACTGGTTTTTTTCCCCCCCACTTGAATAACATCTCTATTTCTCACCTTTGCTGGTTAACTGGAGATAAGAGTTTCTTGGATTTATCTGCCCAGGCCAGCTTCCAACTGGGATCTTAACATCCTGAGTAGCTAGGATTATAATGGTGAGCCACCAGTGCCTGGTTAGTCCTACTATATTTTGGCCTGGTGGTCTAACTTTGGGAACTTACCTAATCTCTTTAACTGTCAATTTCCTCAACTGTAAAAAGTAGATATTATTAGAATCTTCTTCCCAGAATGTACACAAATCTTTTTTATTTTTTTATATTTTTGGGGGGGTCCAGTCGTGGGGCCTGAACTCTGGGCCTGGGCGCTGTCCCTCAGCTCTTCAGCTCAAGGCTAGCGCTCTACCACTTGAGCCAGTGCCACTTCCGGCTTTTTTCTTTTTGCTTATGTGGTGCTGAGGAATGGAACCCAGGGCCTCAGGCATACAAGGCGAGTGTTCTACCACTGAGCTACCTTCCCAGCCCTGTACATAAATCTTAGTCTGATACTTGGCAGAAATTATAAGCTAAGAAAGGATAGCGGTAGTGATGTTGGTGATGGTGATGGTTAATAATCGTTAGGTACCGTTCATCATCATGGTTATCACTATCAATGGGATGATGGTTACATTCCCAACACTGTGGTTAATACTATGACTTGCAAGGAATTAATTTTTCTTGCCTTGGAAAATGACCCTGCTCTCTGTATATTTCAAGGCTAGACTGCCATCCCCATGAGCTTCACATTCTTTGGAATTATTAATGGCAGATTCTTCCATAGCTCATACACCTCCCAGTATCCCCCGAGGAGAAGAGTGATGATAATATACAGATTCCTACTTGTTTTGGGGCGCCTAATTAGGGTAGTACAATGTCATCTATTTACAAAGGCAAAGAGTAAGGCAGACTAGTAGATATTTTACAGAATTCTGCTTTGTACTTAAAACATATAATTATCATTAACAAATACCAGCACTAATAATTCAATCTGCTCTTTTGACAAGAAAAAAAAAAAGAATGTAAATATGGCCCTGGCTCAATTGGCTCACATTCTCAAACCATTTCCTCTGGGTACTTGCTCCATCCTTGCCACCGTTCACATGCAAGGTGGGAGGTCTTTTTGCACGGCAGAGGCCTCTGGGCTGGAAGTACATTATGGGAACAGCCTGGGAAAAGGTTATACAGCAGATGGTTCAGTCCCTGAGGCGGCAGACATTCCTTGACATTGCTTGACATTTGCAGCCTGACTTCAGCAAACCAGACCTCTGCTTTTGATTTCTTCAACTTAGAAAACACAAATGACCTAACAATCTAACCTGATCAGCCTCTGTACTAAACACCACCCCTAAAGTGAAAAGGGAAAACGAAATAAAAAGCCATCATCACTGAAACACAGAACCTTACATGTGCCCACATCTACATTATTTCCTCTTTTTTTGTCAAAGCAACACTCTCTTCCTGTTTCAGATCAGTAAATATTTTCAAAATTTAGTATGTAAATGTTCAATAATTACAGATGCTCGGTAAATAGTCCATATGAACTAAGTGCAGTAAAGAATATATTTTACTTAGTTAAAATACTTTTGAGCATCACCTCTCAGCCCATAAACCATGAAGCCAGGCATTGGGAAGCATACTCTGGATGGGATCTCTTTAAAGTGATAAAAATAAGATGTCTTCTTTGGTAAGCAGAGAAGTCTTTGATCCACTAACCATTCTCTGGACTTGGAGACTTCCTCTTCGGGTTCACCACTAATGTAACAAGTTCAAACCAGGCTTCCAAACTCCAGGACCATGGTGTACAGCAGGGGGTACAGTAGAATAGAAAACTGCCTTGGCAAACTGCCAAGGAGATGAGCAAAATACAGAGTCTCAAGGAATTTAAAAGTCTACATGGATCTCCTACAGCCTAAGACAGAGCTCCCTACTGGAAATTTGGAAGTTATTTACAATAGCTGAGATTCTTACCTTTAAGAAAGACAGTGTGGTTATGCAGGTCCACTCTGAACAATGAAGTTTGCATCTAGAGTAGCCAGGCTTCCAAAGCAAGGGGAAAACAAAGATCAGAGTTGATAAACAATTGGAATACTTTCTAACCCAAACCAGCAGGTCTCCAGATGTCTGAAGACTTTAGAGAATAGAGCTGCAAAAACAATCCATTGAACAATATCAAATGCATGAAATCCCATGGAATCAGATCAAGGTGGAACCATTTGTGTAGCAGAGACTGAGCAGACACTGAGCTAACATTTTACTAACACACCTGGGCTCTGTCTAATTAGAAGTGAGAATAAATGGTGAAATCATTCACCTCATCACATCCCTCCACAAAAATGGTTGTTTAACAAAGGGCTGGCAGAACTCTCCATTACACTGACTTCCATTGGGGTATTTGGCAAGCTGTAGCATTCACACATTCACCATATCCACAAAGAAGACTCTATGGCATTATAATCTTGGTTTGGAGGAAAGCCCTACCAGCTGATGAAATAATGACAACATGAGACTCAAATCTAGATGAGGAGGTGGAGGGAACTGGAATCTTTCCCTACTTGCACTGAAGTAAATATAAAACAAGAATTATACCCAACATTAATAAAATTCTATGAGATATATCCCTATCTGTGACAGTTTATTTTATGTGTCAGCTTCACTAGGCTATAGTGCCCCCAATGTTTGGTTAAATACCAGTCCAGATGTTTCTGGGAAGGTGTTTTTCTAAGATGTGCTATCAGAAGACTTTCAGTCAAGTAAATCACCCTTCATAATGTAAGTGGGCTTCATTCAAACAACTGAGGCTCTGATAGGGAAGTCTGAAGTCCTCCAAGAAGGAATTCTGCCCCTACAGTAACACTGAAATCACCATGTCAGTAATAGCTCTTTTGCAGCTTTCCTGACTATAAGCCTGCTCTGAAGCTTTCAGAAATGCTAGGCTATTCAATAATGTAGATCAATTCTTTTTTGTAGTTTTTTAATGTAAAAATGCTGTACAGAAGGGTTACAGTTACATGAGCAAGATGAGTACATTTCCTATTGATCATTGTTGCCTCCTCCTTTGTTTTCCCCCTACCATCTCTTCCCTCCCACCTCCACAACTACTCCTGCCCCCCACTGAAGTTGTAAAGTTTGTTTTCAACAGTGTTTTGTATATCTGATTGTTACAATGGGTCAACCTGTATCCTTATTTAAGCATTTTCTTTTTTCCCTTCCGCTCAACAAATTAGAGAAGTGTATATTTTTTATCATCTTCATTTAATTGACAGGATCTCTGAGCAGATACAGTAGAAAATAACTTACTATATTTTTCATATGAGATATGATGTTAATGTAGTTCACAAAAGTAATTAGGTTAAAAAAAATAAAAGAAGTAAATAATAATCTGACCTCCTGGCTTGATCCAGGGGCTAAAATGATCCGTTCTGGAGCAATCAATAAACTCCATGCCCCATCATTTCTCTTAACAAAAAGTTGGGTGGAAATTTGACTACCGTGTGAGATTGTTGTCCTCCTGCTATGAACCTGTTTAAAGCCATTTAGCAATGGTTTTACACCATTGCCAATTAGGGTAGAGCCATAGAAATCTCACCACAGACAGATTTATAAGCTCAAGAAATATAAATCTAAAGGATAAAAGTTTATTTTTTGTTTTTGCACTTGTATAAGTCCTATGTGCCCCCTGCATGCAAAAAGTTTACTGCTTGGTTTTTATTTAAATTCTTAGGTATCTTCAAATACTTGTATAAAGTGATTTCATTCAACTGTCAATTTGTGTGTGTAATGCATCTTGATCAATGTCATCCTTCCATCATGCTCCCCACGCCTCAATCAATCCCAACCTCACCCATCCTTGCACATTTCCTACTTCCATTTTGATGTACGTACATTGAATATTATTACTGTATCACCTACCTTTCCTCTCCCCTTAACTGCCCCCCCAAACAAGACATGAAGTTTACTATTCTAACCACTTTAAAGAATTCAATCCAGTGGCACTGAGTAGATTCATAGTTTTGTGTAACCATTGCCATTATCCGTTTCCAGAACTTACTCATTACCTCAGTTGGGAGCTCATACCCATTAAACACTAACCCACTGCTAGCCTTGAGCAAGAAAACTCAGAAACAGCACCCAAACCCTGAGTTCAAGCCCCAGGACTGGCACACATGCACGCCTGCGCGTGCACGCATACACACACACACACACACACACACACACACCACACCACACAAAACAAACCAATAAACAAAAACCCCACTAACTCCCCACCTCCCCTCCCTTTAGCTGTGATGGACTCTCTCTTACCTTCTGTCTCTATGAACTTGCCTACCTTGGTTACTATGATACCTGTTATATTTCTGTCTAGCTTATTTTACTTTGTATAGTGTTGTGAAGGCTCATCTGTTACTGTAGCATATGTCAGAATGTCAGTCCTTTTTATGACTGAATAATATTTTATCAAGTAAACACCACTGTTGTTTATCCCAGAATCTACTTCATACAGTTAATTGACCATATAATTACTGAGCATTTAAAATGTGAAGAGTCTTAATTTTTTAAATATTAACTTCATCCTAACAACAGTGACTACAGAAGAAGCAGAAGAGCTACTCCACAAGGAACCAATTAATTATACGAATCCTGCTTTCAGAATCCACAGCAGTAGCAAGAAAATAAAAACCATTAAACAGTTCCTTCCCTAAGGGTTTGGTGAATCCCTCCCCACAATCTTAATTAATGTTCTTTATATTTAAGGCAGGAATGAGATTAGATATCCCCCACTATGTGGCCAACATACCCTGTAACATTCAATATCACTGCCCAGAGCTGTCCAAATGTGTCATTCTTGACCCCCAACCCAGGGATAATGAGTTTCTATCAAAACAGCTGATATCCAGAACTCAGAAACTGCAGTACCATGAAGTGCTGGTTTCTAGCCCTGCGGATAAAACACCCTCACAAAATCAAACTGAAAGGCACGTCTTTCTTTCACTGCTGCCTATCCAAAAGCTTTCATTGTAACCTGCCTTCTGTGCAGAAATGTGTGTACTCACAGGAACGGCACTCCCCAACCAGAAAACTGAATAACTGAAAGGGAAGAGGGAAGCTCCACTCCACAAAGGTTTTCATTTTTGAAGTGAAGAACAGATGGTATGAGGGGGAACACCACTGTCTACCTGAATTCACAAAAGTGGCCTAGTGGGAGTCATCCTAAGCTGCCCACAGGAACAATAACCACAACAGAAAGCCCATTCTGCTCAGTGGCAAGGGAATGGCAAGCAAAATCAAGAGCCATAAAGGATCCAGACCACTGTGTGCAGTAAAAATTTCTCAGATGGGAGGATCTGCTGTCATCTCAGATTGTTAGCATTTGGCTGAGCTGAAGTTCATTCACTGCTTTTGGGTACAGTTAGCTGGAAACACGGTATTTTAACAACAAAAGCTGTTTTAGAAAGTTATAGAACATTAAGCCCTGAGTTCCTCCTGCAAGTTTGTGAAGACTGACTTTTAGAGCAAGAGTTTTGTTATTGTTGGTTTTCTTTTTGAATAAAGACTAAATGTTAAGATTATCCTTTTTGTTATACAGGTTAGCGATATAGTATTTCTTTTTTGCATATACTTTTTTATTGTAAAAATATTGTACAGAAGGGTTACAGTACAAGAACAGAAGTACAGAACAAGGTAATGAGTAATTTCCTATCAAGCATTGTTACCTCCTCCTCTGTTTTTCCCCTACCATCCCTTACCTCCCACCTCCACAACTACACTATGCCTAAATTGTAAAGTTCATTTTTCAACATAATGTTTTGTGCATCTCATTGTTAAAATGGGTCAACTTGTACCCTTATTTAAGCATTTTCTTTTTTCCCTTCCCCTCCCCAAATTAGAGAAGTGTATATACAAGATGCAGGGCACAGACATCAAATATGTTGAAAATGGATTATACCATGGGGGAGGAACATACAAAGCAACAAAAAAATCACATGGTATATTATAAATACGAAGAAACAATAGCAAGAAAGAAAAAAACCACTTGTCCCTATCTTGGGGTTCATTTCGCTTAACATCATCTTATATGGTCATATGTACATAGCTTTTGGCCTTTTCTGCTTGTCCTAGACATATACTAGTTGTTGCAAACAAGGGAAACCATGGGGCCTATGTTTCTTTGGGCCTGGCTTACTTCATTTAATATAATTTTTTCCAAGTCTTTCCATTTCCTAACAAATGGGCAATGTCATTCTTTCTGATTCAATGCAATACCTATCAATATTCCAACCTCATTCTTCAATGAGATAGAAGAAGCAATCCAAAAATTCATATGGAGCAATAAAAGACCCCGATAGAAAAAACAATCCTTAACAGAAAGAATAGTGCTGGAGGAATATCAGTACCAAATTTCAAACTCTACTACAAAGCCATAGTAATCAAAACAGCTTGGTACTGTCACAAGGACAGACCTGAGGACCGATGGAATAGAATCAAAAACCCAGAAATGAACCCACAGATCTATAGCCACCTAATCTTGGATAAGTAAGCTAAAAATAAATAGAATGGAAGAAAGACAGCCTCTTCAGTAAATGGTGCTGGCAAAATTGATTAATCACCTATAGAAAATTAACACTAGATCCTTCTATATCACCCTGCACCAGAATCACCTCAAAATGGATCAAAGACCTCGGAGTCAAAGCAGACACCCTGAAAACATTACAGAAAGGAGTAGGAGAAACCCTAGGTCTCCTTGGCACAGGCCAAAATTTTCTTAATAGAGACCCAGAAACACAACAAATCGAAGAAAGGTTGGACAAATGGGATTGCATGAAATTGAAGAGCTTCTGCATGGCAAAGGACATAGCTAGCAAGATCAATAGAAAGCCCAGGAATTGGGAGATCTTCACTAGCCATATAACGAACAAGGGTATCATATCTAAAATATACTTGGAACTCAAAAAAAGTAAATCCCCCAACAACAAGTCCTCAAAGAAACAACTGCCCTATAAATAAGTTGGCTAAAGACTTAAAACGAAAACTTCGAGTTC